ATCAGCTTTTCACGTGGCATGTTTAAGGCCACTAAATCAAAGGTCAATTTTATATATTTAACCTAACTTTAATTTAGGACCATAAAATATAAAAATCCTTTTTATACTCTTAAACTTCGTGTTAAGTCAAATTAAATAATTCTTTACGAAACAATCAGGATTTGAGACATTTTGACCCAGTCATCAAAACATGACAGGTGAATTATAATGTTAAAGTTTAATTAGTGGTTAATGAATAGCAAATTATGAAGTTGACACAAAAAGAAAGAAAAAGGTATGCATGCTATGATTGCATAATCACCACTAAAACTCCATCATCTTCACATCATTACCAATCCACCCAATTGCTTGGTTCTATAATAAACAAGTATTTTACTTATTTAATACTCTTGTTGTCTCGTTTAGTTGTTATGTTGTTTAAAAATTAATTTGATTAATTTTAAAATTAGAATTAGATTGAATAATTTAATAATTTGATTAAATATTTAGATATTTAAATATTATACGAAAAATATTATAAATTATAATTTTTTTATATATCAATATGATGAAAAATACATTGAAGATACTAGTTAAATTTCTTATTCTTTACTCTGAAAATAAAATTATGACAACTAAAAGGGGGGAAAGGGAATATTAGTTAGTGGAATACATTGATATCCGCTTAAATTTTTTTGATAAATTTCATTTAAAAATATTCAAATTACAATATATTCTAACTGAACACGTAATAAAATATTTTTATTAATCATATTAAATATAACTTTTGAAAAGGAAAAGGGGATTTTGCGCGTATTATCATGTGTGTTTATAGTGTAGAATAAGTATTTATATTAGCTAGCCTCTTTTAATTAAATAATATAATTCTTAATTAGAACAAGCCTAATTTTTTTTTATAATTTATCAAAATTAATGCGTGTAATTAAAGAAAATGATATGTTTTAATTTGTGAATTTATTCATGAAAATGCTTGAGAAGACGCATAAATTTTTTAAAAAAATTGAGTCAACTTTAGCTAATAAAAATGATTTATTATTTAATTGCTCAATCGAAATGATAAGTATCTAACTAAAATTACTAGCAAATAAAATTATTTTTGGTATTGTCTACTAAATAATTGTAACTCTCGTCACTCATTATATATAAATAAATAATATAATAATTAGTCTACCTCATTGTTTGAAATAAGATACCTTTCGATGTTCACTAATCTATGTGCATAATTAGAATATTAATTTAATATAAAATATATTGGGAACTTGCATTAATATACTAAAGAAACCCATGATAAAGAGATGTTAGTGATATGGATGATTATGGGTGAATGATTGTCATGAAATGATATTTGGAGACGTTTTTAGGATTTTGAGATAATGAGTATTTTATTACGAAAAAATAAATTTAAGTATAAATTTATAAGCTCATATTTTTAGATTCTTAAAACTGAATTCATTAAAATTTTAAAATTATAGGTCGAAAATATATAGTACTGTATCTTTAAGTTTTAATATAAATATATGATTTAATTTTCTAAAAAGTTAACAATGCTATTTTTTAAATAAATTTTCAATGTAACACACTTGAAAATTTTAAAAAATTAAGGAAATTCAAAAATATCACTGATAATCACGTCTTAACAAGGTGTTACTCAATTTTCGAAATAAAACAAATAAGATAAGAGAATTCAAATTTCTAACATCACTTAGAGAAATGGACTCTATCGTCATCGTATTATATGATACTTTGAACATGAGTTCAACACATCTATACTTAATTATTTTTACAAAATATGACAACACTATAATGGACTAGAGAAGGGCTTGAGTTCACGTGAACCCATGAAGCCCCTAATATATATCCCTGGTCTTACTTCCTATAACTTTATAAATGACTATCTCATTTCCCATCTCACCCGCCTCTCTTCCATTTTAATATATTTAATAGTGTATGTATATATATATATATATATATATATATATATATATATATATATATATTATAT